GGTGAATCCACCCGCGTCTCCGTCTCGGGTGCCTGCCTGCCGCCGGCTCGTGCTGGGAGCAGAGAGAATCCGATTTTTTTTTATAACCCCCTTCAAGAAAAAGCAAACAAAACTGCTGCCTCATTTCTCCCCCAGCTGATTTCATTTGGCTCCCCTGAAGATGCGTCTGGCCGGGGCAGGCCGGAGGAGCTCATTCACCACGCTGCTGCTGCTGCTGCTGTTGCTGCCGCCGCCGATCTGCGTTTGCGCCCGCCGCCGATCGGGCCACTTACTTTCTTTGCTGTCGGCGGCGTCCTGGCCAGCCCCCGGGTGCCGTGAGCCAGCCCTCCGGCAGCTGCTCCACCATGTATAACCCCGTCCTCCGGCTGGCTCCGGCTCCGCGCCCCCCCCTCCAAGTCCCATTGTGCCATGCTCGCCTATCCCGTTAGCCACCCCCCTCTTCCCTCGCTCCTCCTGCACCCTTGCTGCTTAGTTGCCTCCATGCTGCCTGGATCCGGCGAGCTGGGGTGATTAATTGGCTAGGATGATGAACGTCCCCGGCGGAGGAGCCGCCACGGTGATGATGACGGGTTACAATAATGGTCGCTATCCCCGGAATTCTCTCTACAGTGACTGCATTATCGAGGAGAAGACGGTGGTCCTGCAGAAAAAGGACAATGAGGGCTTTGGATTTGTGCTCCGAGGGGCGAAAGGTAAGAGTGGTTGCTCCGAGCCTGGATGCGTTCACATGTGTTCTGTGTGTGTGTGTGTGTGTGTACGCCTGTATGAAAAATGTTCCCCAGCTCAGAAATAAGCATTCAATAAGCATTTTTCCTGAGGGCACCTGGTTGCTAGACAACCGTGTTCTTTAACATTCTGCCCTACTCAATGTGTTGGGGCTTCCTTTAGGAATATTTGTTTATTTTCTGTACACAATATTGCTTGGGAGGAATCCCCCTCCCCCCTACCTCTCTTTCTCTCTTTTCTTTATCATGGGCACAATCAATATTTTGTGGTTTAGTTCACCCAGAGTGTGACTGAATTCAGAGCCCCTGGCCTCAAATGCCCAGAATCACCCAGCCTGAGTTTTAGGTATCTAGAAACTGCCCTGTTCTGGGAGTGGGCTTCAGCTCCATGGGTGGCAGGCATCCATGTGCCCGCCTCTAAGGTGACTTTGCAAAGGAAATGTGGCAAGATGGTCCCTCTGCCATGGACCGAGCCAGCAGCACACACATTCTGTGGCCTGTGCTGTGAGCTCCAGGGTGCAGTCACCCATTGCCTGCACTTAACTTGGGGGCTTTCCTCCCCAAAGAAGACAAAATGGCATCACCTCCCAGTGAGCGGGGACATCTGCCCACCAAGTGCGTGTGGGTAAGCCATGTGGAAGTTGCATCTCTGAGCTTAGGAGGGCTTTTGATTTTTGCTCCGAGGGGCGAAAGGTAAGAGTGGTTGCTCCGAGCCTGGATGCGTTCACATGTGTTCTGTGTGTGTGTGTGTGTGTGTACGCCTGTATGAAAAATGTTCCCCAGCTCAGAAATAAGCATTCAATAAGCATTTTTCCTGAGGGCACCTGGTTGCTAGACAACCGTGTTCTTTAACATTCTGCCCTACTCAATGTGTTGGGGCTTCCTTTAGGAATATTTGTTTATTTTCTGTACACAATATTGCTTGGGAGGAATCCCCCTCCCCCCTACCTCTCTTTCTCTCTTTTCTTTATCATGGGCACAATCAATATTTTGTGGTTTAGTTCACCCAGAGTGTGACTGAATTCAGAGCCCCTGGCCTCAAATGCCCAGAATCACCCAGCCTGAGTTTTAGGTATCTAGAAACTGCCCTGTTCTGGGAGTGGGCTTCAGCTCCATGGGTGGCAGGCATCCATGTGCCCGCCTCTAAGGTGACTTTGCAAAGGAAATGTGGCAAGATGGTCCCTCTGCCATGGACCGAGCCAGCAGCACACACATTCTGTGGCCTGTGCTGTGAGCTCCAGGGTGCAGTCACCCATTGCCTGCACTTAACTTGGGGGCTTTCCTCCCCAAAGAAGACAAAATGGCATCACCTCCCAGTGAGCGGGGACATCTGCCCACCAAGTGCGTGTGGGTAAGCCATGTGGAAGTTGCATCTCTGAGCTTCTCGCTGTGCTGGAGGTCCTGCCCATGTGCTGGTGGGGGGCCCTTCTTCCCTGTCCAGCATCCCCACCTGTCTTGGGCTCCAGGAGCCCAGCACTGATCTCCCCAGGGAGAGAATGAAGAGATGAGTTTGTTTTCCCCCCTCCCCCATTTGTGTCCATGCCTAGCTGTGTGGTGTGCTTTCCCCTCCTCTGCCGGGACCATCTTCATCTTCCCACCCCCCCCTACCCACCCACTCTTGGCCACTCATGACTACCAAGAAAAGTCTGTCTCTTGCCCAAGGGTTGCACTCAGCAGCTGTGTGTCAGCTTCACTCTACCGAGGAGTGATGGTCCAGCTCCCCTGGGGACACTGATCTCAAGGTGGTCACAGAGAGCAGGCTCCCAGAGAGAGGACTTACAAGCAGATCTGGAATCTGCAGCCACCCACTGGACCAGTGTTATGTTCAGTCTATGTTCCAAGTTGAATCCCCTTGGTTGCAAGTCTACGTCGATGTAAATTTGGCAAGTGGTTCAGTGTGGTGTTTCTGTAGCTCTGTGTGGTATGGGAAGAACTTTTCCATTTTTAGAACTGAAAATGTTTAGTCACCGATGCTTTTAAAGAAAATGACAGGCATGTAGATATGTACCGCAGAGCACATTATTCCGTGGCTTCAGCAGAGAGGCCGAGGAATGAGATGGTGTCACCAGCATGCACTGGGCCACATTGTTTAAGTTAGTGTTGACCCAAGACTTAAGAGTCCCAAGCCCTTCCCCAGGGAGAGTTGGCCTGGACCACCCAGTTCCAATGGAAGATGTATGAACTCTCTTTCCCCCTGGGTCATGTGGGAAGGGCAGGGATGGTCAACTTGGACAAAGATTTCCCAGCTGCTAACAAGGTGCTCTTTGTCTTCCCAGCTGATACGCCTATTGAAGAATTCACACCAACGCCGGCGTTCCCAGCCCTACAGTACCTGGAGTCCGTGGATGAAGGCGGGGTGGCGTGGCAAGCCGGACTAAGAACTGGGGACTTCTTGATTGAGGTAGAGACACAGGTGTTTATGTCTTTCTGCTTGGGGAGAGCGCCGACTCTCGCCTGGGAGAAGGTCGTGGTCTTGGCAGCATGGTCTTTGAGACCACATCTCGGGTGTCTTATGGAGGCTGTCGTGGACCTTGCTGTTTGGTTATTTCCACCCACTGTAAGTGTAGCTCCTTGTGTTTGGGGTCTCTTTGAGGCCCTGGCTGTAACTCTCTGAAAGGAGGGAATGTGTGTGGAACTTGGTCACTGTTCTTAAGCAGAAGGTAAAAAGAAGAGACACGTGGTTGCCTTGATATTGGGGACATGTGGATCTCTGGGTGCTTTATTTATGATCTCATAAATAGGCTCCAAGAGGAGTCACCACCCACTCTGTGCCCCAAGGGCAAGTTGACAAATAGTCTTGAGTGGCATTTGCTGTTATGGGGTCCATTACGTGGTTGGCTAAGGGCTCGTCAATGTGCAAGTTGCAGTGATAACCCTATTGGCTACGTGATTATGGCCTTCAAAGACCATGGCAGGAGGAGTAGGCAGAGTCGTTGGCGCAAAAGGGAAACTTTAAAATTCAGATGCTATGGAAACTGGCTGTTACTAGTGCATGGAAAAGGGGAACATTTTCTTCATTTAAGGAATCCCACTGGATACGACTGTCCATGTTTTTCAAACTTTACCTGAGGTTGGCACATTGGTATGTGAGGCCCCAACACATCTCTAAGTGTCTTGTTTTTTTGTGAGTTTAGGTGTAACTTTCAATCTTGTTACGGAAAGGAATGTGTTACTCTTTGGGGGTATGAAGAAAAGTATGTCGTTGGTTGCAAAAGATCGTTTTTGGAAGGCTCCGTAGACTCACATGGTCCTCACTGGGAGTTCACATTGCTCGGACAAGCATTTCTCAGTGATTACTCTGAGCCCTGTCCTATCTGCATCAGAAATCCTTGGTAGGAATAAGGAGTACATGGGTGAGATCCAGCCAGCTACGCAGTGGTCCCACCCCGAGGTGGGCTAGACATGTCTATTTTATAAAGGAGAAGTCCACATCCCAGGCCCTGGTGAGATGGCCACTCAAAGCTATTCTCTCTAGTATGCCTGAGTTCCGAGGATGCTTTGGCTTTACTCATGACCTCTCTAGTGTTTCTCAAGATTATTAAAGGGTGATGGTAATCCTCAAGGGACGATACTGTTGCAGGATAGAGAGCCAGGTGGGATGCGATGTTCTAACTTATTCCAAGTATCCTGTGTTGCTCCCATTTTATTCACTGAGAGATATATTTAAATTATTATTGACTAGTCAGACACTGGCTGGAATGAGGAATGAGCTGATTTTGATTCTCGTATGTCGAAACTGTCGGATGCTGGTCCAGAATAGTTGAGACTGGAGCTCACTGCAGCTTCTTGGGTTAACTAGATTTGTAACCCTCAAGAAGATGCAAAAGAGACTGGGTTGAATCATCTTCTGTGGGACGCAGTTGTGATGTAAGTCCCCTTCCTGTGTGTGTGCGCACGCGTGTGTGTGTGTGTCTGTGTGTGTGTGTATAAGAGAGTGACAGAGACAGAGGGGTGTGGCCTTGGGCTGAAGGTGGAGCTGACGTCTATGGTTGCTGCGTGTGTGGCGGGGAAGGGCAGGTAATGTGTGTGTGTGTGTGTGTGTGTGTGTGTGTGTGTGTGTAAGAGAGAGGCTCCAATATGTTGAAATAGGTTATTGCCGGTTCTTGGTTTTCAATCATAAATGAGGGCTACCGATGCAAGAGCACCCCTCATTGCTTGGCTCATTGGATAGTTTCCTTGATAAACTAGTCAATAAAAGAGACGTGCACTGCTGAGCACGTGTACTGGGCCCGTCACTTTCCCAGCGAGTGAAGCTGCACTGGGTTAGCAGATGTCATGTGCGGGTTTGCAGAGCTTGCCTGGGCTGGGTCGGGCCAAGGAGGCACACCATCCTGTCAGATTGAAGCCTCCCTGGAACTGTGGAGCATTCAGTTTCTGCACTTTAGTTTTCAAAGCACCTCCATTGACATTGCTTTAACCTTCCACATGCAAATCAACTTACCATTTTGAAGCATGTTTTATATTCTGGGTAACCCTAAAACTCCAGGTTCTAGGAAAGGCTGGCTCTGAAATGCATCAGGACTCTGTCACACGTGACTCAAACCAGCACTAGGCCGTCCAAAGTCACAAGAATGCTTAACACAGTCGAACACTGATGGAGCAGGAAGGGGTGCGGGAGGGAGGGGGCAGGGGATAGGAGGCTGGACCCTGGAACCTGGGCTCTCCCTACTTCATCTCTGAGGTTGCCTCAGGGACTCAGAAATTCTCTGTTGGGTGCTTGGATTTAAGAGTGAGAATCCCCACTGAGCTGTTTTCCCAGTTCCTGGATTTAGCCACTGGAATATTACAGTCTCTCATAGCTTTAGAGGTGTATGTATTATCTAGCAGACGATTTTTGTATATTTTCAGTGAAAAGCTTTGACCTTGGATTGTTGTAGACAGCCTCACGTGTCTTAGATGAATTTTCATCATGGCAAGAGGCTGCCTCCAGAGTTGGTGGGTTTCTGAGCTCTTTGGGAGGCTCGAGGCCTCCGTGGAAAAAGCCAGCCTAAGTGCTGGGACGCTGTCCTCATTCCCCACGTGTCCTTGGCAAGCCTCCTTTTCTCTGCGATTTGAAAGAACTTCGAAAGTATGTCAGATTTTTATTTTCCCTTTCAAAACACATGCTGTGGTTTGAACTTTGGGGCCAAGGGGCAACGTTTGAAGTGAATGTTGGCTTTTAAAGTCTTTAGCATCTACAGAGCTTCATCTTTCCTTCTTTAACATTGTCGGAACGCCCGCCACGGTCCTCTTGCTCGGCATCAGACCCTGTAATGAGGAGTGTCCTGTTGGGTGTGATTTTCTTGGACACTTACCTTCTGGAATAGGTTTCTCTCCTGCTCTTACATATTAGGGAAAATTTCATTCTGCTGTTGCTGTTATTGTTTCTTTGTTGACCATGGCCGCACCTCCACCCAAAGCACAAGCTCTGAGTAGAGGTCCCTGTGAAAGGCTAGCTTCAAATGGGGAATTTCAGTGAGACCGAGGGTGTCAGCGTGCAAGCTGGGTTGTCAGAAAAATTCATCGTGGAAGTAAGCAGGGAGGAAAAGTGGATGCCTCGTGGGTGGGGACACTGGGCCCCTGAGGCTCCACAGATCATATGCGTTTGCCTTTGTCAGATCAGTTCATGTCCCGTGGCTCCCCGAAAGCCCATGACAAGCTTTCCCAGATAGTGAAATGTCAGCCTGCCCAGGGAAGAGGTAGCTGGGAGAACTTTCAGAGCTTGAGAGGTAGACAGAGCAGGAGGAGGTAGGTGACTCTGTGGGGGACATGGGTGGGACTGCAGGGCAGATGCTTGCAGAGACAGGGGCCCCGGCAATGACAGCCTTGGGAAAGAAGCAGGGGGCTGGTCAAATGTTTCTTTCCATGCAGGCCAGGTGTCAGGACAGGCATCCTACCAGGCATGAATGCTAAAGGCCCATGTCCCTTTTGGTTATAATAGGAAACCCAACCCCAGTGGTTTTCAGAATAATAGGAACTTACCAGGGAGCTGAAACCAGAGTTCCAAGGTTCCAAGAATCAGCCTTTGAGGAGAGTTTGCTAAAGATTTCTTTGGCTGTCTGTTTGAGACTGTCTTGGTTAGGCCTCATGACTCCCTGAGATGGAGCAGGAGAGAGGTCAGAGTTTCCCAAATTTACGATGAGCTGTAAGGGGGATGCAGGAGACTCAGAATGACAGTTATATGTGAAAGGGGAGGTTGAGGTGTCACTTTGGAGTCCTGCAGGGCTCACCATTGGTCTTCTCTCATGAATCCTGTCTGGGCATTAGAAGTACCTGAAGGCCTGTTAGAGACAGAGATCTGGGCTGCCCCCAGAGCACCACCGTTAAACACTATACAAAGGGCATGAGATCGCATATGGCTGGCTGTGGGTCCAGCCCCAGCCCCAGTGGCCTGTTAAAACACATTCCAGGCCTGTGTCCACATGCCCAGGATTCTGATAGGCTAGAGACATGAAAGAGGGGGGATTGTGGTATAACTAAGTCCCATAGGGAGGCTGCTCTCTCCCTCTCTCTTCTCTTCTTTCTCCTTTTCTTGCATGTGCATACATGTCCTCTGGCATTTAAAAAAAAAAAAAAAAAAAGCTAATGCTTAAAAAAAAAAAAAGAAAAGAAAAGAAAGCACAGAGACCTGATGCCCAGCCCATACCTATGGACTCAGAACCTCAAGGCAGGATCTTGGGTATCCGTGTTTCTAGAAAGCTGCAGTTGCTGCAGGTGCCCCAGCGGGCAGGCTAGATGGCATTTTGAACCTCTTCACTTGGCACTCTGTCTCCTTGGCCCAAATAGAAGCAGGTGCTTGCTGCTCTCCTTGTCTTGAGACCAAGACTGTATCTCTTTCACAAACACCCTTTTTGGAAACCCAAGTTTTATTCCTTAAGTTTCAGGAATGAAAATATCCTGTATCTCAAGAATTGTTCACAATGCAGCTCAGTGGTAAACATCAAAGGACAACAAATCTCACAGAAAGGCTTAGATCCTTATTTATCATAATTGAGGGTGTATCCGCCAGGCACTGTATGATCTCATGGAATTCTCCGAACAATCCTCCAGCATAATCTCTGTCACTAAACTTATTTTAACGATGGGTAAACTGAAGCACAGAGAGGTCAGCTAACTCACTCCCGGCCAAACAGCTGGCAAGTGGAGAAGCAGGAATTCCCGCCCAGCCTGGCCCACTCCATGATGTCAGAGCTCCAAGGCTCATGAGAAACACGTCAGTGTACATAACGTCTAAGTGCATGGAGAGTAAGAAGACAGACAGTGAGGTGTTGATTTTTATTTTCAAATGAGTGAACACTTTTTTGATTATTACTGCACTCGTTGCTGCTGACAACACTATCGTGTTGCTACGTGAAAGAATAAATTGTCATAAAGTTTTTAGAAATCAATGTGACAGGATGTCGCAAGAGTCACAGAGCTAGA